CAGATTGAGATCCATTAAAACAACCTACTATGTGGATAAAATTTGGCCTTTTCAGCGGAAGCTGAACCACAGAAATCAACCTCAAAGTCGTTGAAAGCTCGGAACAGCGCTCGAGACAATCGGGCAATGAATTTGCGCGAATTTGCTTCTTCCAAAACAACAGAATCTGGCCCAATATTCTACCAAGGGAAACCTAATCCAAAATCCACCATACAGAAAAGTATTGGAGAGTTACTGAATCGAGCGAAAGACACGTTGAAGATCCTCATGTAAAATGACGCACATCAGGATACTGTCACTAAAAGGACAGGGTAGCCCGTTCCAAATAGCCTGTTCGATCGCACGCGGTAGGCGTGGCTCGTTCCCTTAATGACCTCGCAGTATAAAAGAATTCTGACGCAAGACATTTTTTTTTTTTTTGCTTTGTTGTTGTGGGGTGTGTGTGGTGTTGCTGCTTCTGGGTGGCGGCTGTTTGGTAAAGATGGATTATACTTGCTTGGAGCCTCGGACAGCGGAAGGTTTGGCACCAGATATTCGTACAAGAATTGGGAACCTAGTAACCACAAAATAGTGGGACCTCAGGTTTTTACAAAGATCAGCGGCTTCGCCCGCCGACGGCATGATGGCTTGCAGAGAGGCGCGTCCCCAGTCTTGCGCCGTGTGAACTGCGCGGATGGCCCAGGCGAAGCAATAGCAGCATTGCGGTATATCGTTCTTAGGCTAATTCTCGACGGTTACTTTCGAGGAGGAAGAGCCTCCGCGCGTCATAAAGACGAACAATGTCTAAGCTGGGGAGCATGAATGCCCTCACCTTTGCCGCTGGCACGTTCTACGCCAAAACTCATCACACAGGCTCGTAAAATCACGAAATCGACGGCGATTCCGCATGGACGATATAACATTGTTTTCGACTGTCAGATCGCGTTTAAGCTGGGCCTCTCGCTTTTCTTCTTTTTTTCCCGCACAGATAAGCAGGATTCTGGGGGAGTCCTTGTTTTGAAAGAGAGAAGCCCGACTGCGGAGATCGCGGCCAGCTTGGTCGGGCCACCTGCGAGAGCGAAGGAGCTGAGCAGGTTGCTCGCTTTGGCTGATTGTAATACAACCTCTGAGAAACCCCCGGCGCGCGACGCGGAAGCGAGAGGCCTTTCCACAAAATAATATGGAGACGACTCATGATATCGTGGAGTGGGAGCATTTTGACCAGCAACCAGTGCTACGCGTAAAATTGCGCAAAAAAGGCACATCACGAGTAGATGGAAGACCAAATCCCAAAGGCTTAAACTGCTTGGCGAAAATCTGGAGTTGTTCGAGTTGCACGTCGAGTGGTAGCTGAATGGCAGAGTGTGGGCCACTTGTTGCAATATTAACAATGAGCTCCTGGTAACTACTACGCCATTCGTTCGACTTGTTCGTTAGCTAGCATACTCTAATGTGTGCCAAGGACTATTGGAAAACCAATACGTCTCATCACGACTTCGGGACTAGCCTGCTATGCAGGTATTTCCTAAAATGTGTAGTTGCTTTTCTTGCAGACTCCGTGGCGGAAATCTAAACGAAAGGGGGGTCGGGAAGGGGGGAACAAAGTGGAGGAACGTCAGCGTACGGGCACGTATTAGGGGCCGCTGCCTTACAGCGATGCCCCTCAGATCTCCTCCCAAACATTAGGGGAGCACGGTGCATGTCAGGCAAATTGAACGTTTGGGAACACCAGTGCGTACGATATGCGACTGCTCAGACCAACGGCACAGGAACGGGTACAGTGATGGAGTATTGGGCATCGTGTTTATGGCGAACAGCCGTAGCAAGCAGCAAGGCTTGTCGTACGCGTTACGTGTGACTGCCACCTTTAGTAGCGCAACGTCAAAGATTCGTTGGAGGCAGTTGAATTTTGGCGCTGTTGAGGCGAAGAAACCGAGCTACTGTGTAACTCGAGCAGTGACCTCGAGGGGTATTGGGACAGCAAGCCGGGCTGCCCAAACACATGGGTTCCGGTGTTCCGGAGATGAAGAATGTGCGGAGCGTTCAACAAGCTCAAGCCTGTCGGCTCCAGTGAAGTAGCACGAAAAGGCTCAAGCGCACTACCGGCAGGGGCGAACAGGATGTATTAGAATCCTGTGACGGAATCCTGTGGGGACAGATTAGGCTGGTTGACTGGGCTTTCTACCCTTAGGCGTCCGCGATGTCTTTCTACGAGACATTCCGCAATGCCGCAAGAACAGCGAGAAGCCCCTATTGAAGATGTTCAATATGGCCATTGGCAGGGACTGATAATACACACCACAAAAAAGCGGCCACAAAGATATAATGTTACGTGTCATGTCCTAATCCCCACCGAAATTTGCACAATTCTTCGGATACGATGACGATGCTGACTTTAACAGCAGATCTCGCGAAAATTGAAAAAAAATAGCGGAGTGTTATCACCGATGGGGCGGATACAGCGCACTATATTGATCGCGGGCGAAACCAGGTCACTCGCGAACTGCCTCCGCTGGCTTTAACTCTCGAATCAAGGGCAGAAGTCACTCAATTGTACCTTCGTTGCCGACAGTTGTGACTGATTCGCCCGGCCGAGTTCGGGGAGTCTGACTGTCGCGAATGCGGCACATGGGCAGAGTGGTTCGAAAAGAGTTGACGCCTGATTAACAACAACTTTTCTGTCCCCCCGGTAAAAACGCATACTGGGAAAACGTGGATGAGAGGCTACGACTTCCTCGCGATAGTCGCCCTAAAATCCCACACTTAGTCTTACCATAAGCAAGATTAGTCATGAACTTCCAGCGCGTATACGAAGACGAGCTCACGGTGCACGGTTGACAACCGACAGTTGCGTGCGTCGGATGCAGTAACATCGGTTGAGAAGTTGCTACTCATTGTGCAAAAGGAGCAATTGCGAACAGCCTATGTATGATTACGAGAGCCCGTTGCAACAGTGACGTTGCCGACGAGACAATTAGCTCTGCCAAGCCAACAGTGCCATTCCGCTGGTATACCTTGTGCGCCCAGAGACGTCGGAGTCGACACTCAGATCGTCACATGGATGTTAGCACATCACTACGTCGAGAGGCTGCAATAGTTCTTGCGGAAGAACGGTCCCAAACACTTCTTTTCACAACTGCAAGCGGGCGCGTACTCCGAATCATATGATAGCACTGCAGTGCGACTAGCTTACCCGCTTCCAGTCCGACTCCGAAGGCAAAACACAGCCCTGTATATGAAATCGAGTTTTGAGCCCTGGCACGACGGTTGTCATGATATAGCTCCAGGCGTTAATGCGCGTCGATTGCGTAGGTAGATGGCTTTCACTGGAGTTTGACATTGTACGTCCCGTTGCTCGTTGTGTTATCCGTACATATGGTACAACGACCTTGTGGACCACCGCCGTGTTCTCAAAAGATTCTGCGTCAAAATTCGTTGTGGAAAGACTCAACTGGAGCGCCTACCACGTACGCACTCGGTAATGGGGCTCGGTCTGTACTGGCATCGCTATACGGCGCCAGAAATGCCCAGACAAACGGAAGGAGACGAAGCACAACAAAGACGAGACTGCATAAACACACGCATAGCGCGACTCAGACCACCGCCGAGCGAAAGTTGATCAGAAACAGGAAAACCTTTAGGCGTTCACCACGTAGGATACAGGCAACGAAGTCATCGAGAAACCGGAGGGAAATGCCAACCGAACCCCTTCCCAAAGGCCAGCGAAGTCAAAACAAAAAACAAAGAGACAGATATTAAAATAATTAGTAGTGATACTTAAAGAAGAGATAAGCATAAGATAGTATAGCGGGGCCTGCGGCGTAAAACAGCAGTTATCCAACAAAAACGGCTTCAAAAACTTGTAAAGCCTTCGGCGGTCACGGTTCCATGCCGATATCTAACGATTACGGCTGACCGGCTCACCAAAGTTAAACGTGTGAGTGCTGCAAGGCTACAGCATAAGCCGTTAAGCTGAGAAGGTAAAACAGGCCCTGGTGGCGTAACGGATAGCGCACTCGCCCGGAAAGCGTGAGGTGCGGGTTCGACTCCTGGGGCACGACTTTTGCCCATAATCAGCACTATTGTGATGCGACTTTTGTTTTTTATAAAAAACACTGGATACACAATCATTTCTGCCACCTGACGCGACGAGAGTTGGCCTGCCCACTTTTTTCCATAGTGATTGATTTTTGGTTCCTTCGTGTTTTCTCTTCGAACCAGGTTTTCCCAGTTTCCAAAAAAACCGCCTCGTGGGACCGCGTGAACTGGACGCGTATCGCGCCTGTGCGCTCGGAAAAGCGTGCGTGTCCCACGAGGGCGAAAAAGTAAAAACCCGCGCGGTCGTTAACGTGTTTATTAGGACGCCGTAGAGTTCAGATAACGACGGCATACTCCCCACAAAACATGGAGAGTACCTTGTTCTTTGTACATATGGTAGCGTTCAGACTTCGCGACGGCAGTGCTTCGGTCGCGCGTTCGACTCTATCGATGCAGTTGAAAGCATGTGTATCGACCGCGCTGAACGCACAACCGAGGCACTGCCGTCGCGAAGTCTGAACGCCGCCTATAATGCAATAAAAGTTCTATCAAACGCCGCTCTTCATGAGCTTCTCGATGCAGCCCATCAACAATTACCATTGAAACACCATGTGATTGCCCTGTAGAAGACTAAAAGCAAAGAGAACCGTGGAGAGAAGCTTCCATCGCGGAGTGTCGGAGATGTTGGCTTTGATTCATCTATGGTCCACCTTGTAGATTGCACGATACCTTGTTTCCTCATTGTTTTTTGTTGCAATTTCGCGCTTTCGGTACGCACGTTTAGGCCTATCAATACCATTAAGTGCTATTTTCCGCACTCTTCAGCCGACGGAGCGGAACTCGATGCGTTCTATGACCAGCTGGAGGAAGTGATCCGCAGAGAAGTCATTCTACAAGTTCACTGAGGGGGACTCCAACGCAAGACTCTGTAGATATCGGGTATTTCAGTAGTGTACGGTTCGATCTAGGTGACAGGAACGAAAATGGAAGCCGTCCAGCGTGAATTCTCTGTGCAGCTGATGTTTATCATGGATACTCATATTCCCAGGAAAAAGAAAACTGCCACTGGACGCAGGAGAATAGCGCCGCTGGAGTACCCGCCCGGCACGACTCGTGCTGAACTGGACCAAATACCAGCTAACAGGAAATGGTGCCTACTGGACGTTGCCGTCTGGTAACCTTCCTTCTGCAGTGGCTCAGAACATCGCCTAAGCCGCGCTAAGTTTAGACTCAGCCGTAAGCTGGAGAAGATCGTCTATCATAGCGTGAGGAAAAAAAACAGGTCCTGTACAATGAAGGTGCGCTGAACACTGCCCTGAGTAGATATCGCTGGCACATCAAGGAAGACCCGACCGAGGACTACGAAGCGCTGCTTCGAGGCCTTCATTCGTGCGCTGAATCGGCCGTTCTCGTGCGATCGGATTCCGCTTGCGGCCTCTCACAAGGGAGGCCGTTCAGGGCGTGGTGCGCTTTTCAAAGACGGTTCTTTATGTATTCGAGGGGTTCATGCCAAGACCTGAAAAGTGAGCATCGTTTCCGCTGCGCGCTTCGGAAAGGCAAATGAGTGAAAAGAAATTTATGGAAACAGATTCGTTTAGGGCCTCTAAGCGCAGTCAATCACTTGCAGTTTTTATCAGTTGCTGAGTGGGAGTCCTCATAATGGGGCTATTGAAATCGAAGCGAAAAATCTTCGCAATGGGGGTCCAACTTAGGTCACATGCTTGAGAGTGAACGGCTTCTTGGAATAGTTTCTTCAAAAATCGAAGCGAATCGGATGGCCTGGTGTGTTGCTTGAAAGATTCTTAATCGGATCGCGAGTATGGGGTTCATAGTTCGACACCTTCGCGCTGCGAGCTGTTTCATGATTTGCTGTTCTCGCTTCCATATATGTCTGGGCGTGAGTATAGCATGGTTAGTTGCCAATTATGAGTGCACTCCAAATAGTTTCACGAGTCGATTTTCAAATATTTCGATTTCACATACGATCAAGCAAGGCTGAACATTGATCTTAATTAGATGATCAGTGATTGATCAAGAATATGGCACTCACTTCTAGCTCTGGTGCCATTTATAGCTAATTTGGAGCCACATCTCCCTTTCACTTAATTCGTTATATACACTCATATAGGGGACGTTTAGCGCTTCTGGCGCCAAAATGCGTGGATGCCAAAAAAGTGTCATATTTGTGATCAGGACAACTGATTACCCCTATAGACGAAATTAGTTAATTAGTCGGTCAAAAACAGTTTTAACCTTCTTGGGTTTGTGTTGTGCTCACGAGTCTCAGTACCGAAGTCGTACTCTGCCTCGTGACCCAAAGTTTCCCATCTATTAATATAAAAACATATTACCAAGAACAACGATGAAGCTCGCCAAATAATTTAAAGATTGATGATTGAATTGATTAAGAATTAAAGTCTCTCGAACGATCAAAAAAAGTCCGAAAAGAAGGAAGAGTGCTGCTGCTCCGCCCTAGTAGGGAAGGACGACAGTTTTGTGGAACGATTAGTCGGTAATAACCGGGACAATCCGGAATACTTGCTCACGTATCCAACGGCTCTCCAGACGCATGCAATGCATTAAAAAGCTTGTTAGCATGAAACTGTGGTATTGTTGTCCGGAGTACGTAGCGTCATTGATACGTCATCGCTGTTACGAAATGAGAGACTGGCACACACTGCCGACCAAATGGTTACCTACAACTCGGAAAAGTCATGAAATTTTATTGGCTCAAAAAATTCCTCTAGGGGTAGTCAGTAGTCCTGATCACGATTCTGACATCTCCTTCTAGCGCCAGTGCCATCTGGCACTAGCATAGCGCCAAAAAGCTGGGTATGTGAATACAGAGGAATTCGGAGGAAAAGCAGCTTTGTTTCATGAACAAAGAATTGTTATTTGTGAATGTTTCTGTTAGGACAAGGAATATAGACAAGTATGGACCCCCCAAAAAAAATAAAAAATTGTAGAAAGGCAAAATTTTCCCCGTGGGTATCCGAACCATCGACTTAATTTTTTACGTTTTTTCATCCCAGGAGCGCGCAGCGGAAATGAACATCAGTTTTCTGTCCTTCTGTGCCCCTAAAATATGCAAAACCGTTTTGAAAAAGCACACCATGCCCCAATCGACCACCCTTGTCAAACGCAACCAAGGCTCTCCTCCAAGCTAGGAGGGGTCTACGGCTAAACCCGAACGCCACGCACCTTGAGAAGCCTCATGCAAACTTCAGTTGCAGGCAAACGGTGCAGCGTGACCTTCAGCAGTGTAGGTACAAGGAGAGAAAGCACCAGACGCAGCACTGAAAGGACCTAGCCTAAAAAAATGCAGGCGGAATCACCGAGACCATAGTATCCTCTCCGTGTCTGAAAAGGTAATATGGAACACCGACCTATTCCGGCATGGAAATGGAGATAACGCAAAGGTTTTACACCAACCTCTACCAGTCCACCACACACGGACAGGACCAGCGATCCCTATGAGAGATGAGGCACCCCGAATCCTGCCCTTAGAGCGCGTGTTGCGACTGCAGGCATGACAGGTGGCACAGCGCCAGACAGTATCTCAGTCAGTACGCTTCGAGCGGCTGGCCACGAACTTCATATGACTCTCGCAATACGCACGATGTCATATCTCCAAAACGAAAGAATTATAGGCTGGTGGAGGAATTCGTGCATGGTTACGCTGCACAAATAAGGTGACCGCGATGATTTGTAACTATCGTCCCATTAGCTTGCTGAATGTCTTCTATAAGCTTTTGACGGAGGTCATTCTGGCGCGCATGTCGCGAGCAGTAGATGAAGCGCAACCTCTAGAGCAAACAGGATTCCGCAGAGGTTTCAGTTGCTTGGATCACGTTCAGTAAGTTGCTATGGCCTATAAGTGTGCCAAGATCTCCGAATGTCCCTCATCCCAACTCCATAGATTACCAGAGGCTTGACAGCGTCGAGACTACCGCGATTGTCTCCGCACTAGTTGACTAAGGAATGGAGGCTTGTTATATAAGAACCAGTCGGATCACCCGGCTGCCGCCGGGCGCTCCTCCTTCTGTTTCACGGCCCGGCTTCGCCAGGGCCGACCTGGCTTCGCCCGGCACTCCTCCCTCGATCGTGGTAGAATGCGCTAAATGTGCCAAACGGTGGCGGGTATTTTTTTGATAAAATGTAGGAAAATGAGCTGAAAAAGCCGAACATGAGTCATTATCTAACAACATATGGTCCCTCTTATTTACTACGGACTTTCAACCTGGGAGGGCTGTGCCATATCATCAAGGATGGCAGTTGTGACACTAGAGTGGGTAAAGTTGAATTGAGGCATAACTGCAGGATCTTGGGTGGTATGAGAAAGAGAACTTCACATTGCCTTGTACATGTCAAAGCACGTGTCACACGGAGACGACGAATGTCACCCACGATAAAACGTCCCCACTAACAGCTGTTGGGTTCCTCCCTTATTTTGTCAGATTTCCGAAAAGTTTTTGATTGATATGATTTTCTCGTTTCAGCCGCACAATTTACCCCTCCCTCCCCCCGCTCGACACTATTTCACGCATTTAACAACCCTCTATCTACATCGAACATATCGAAGGAGTCTTCACACACTGAGCCTCTAATACTCGGCATTGAAGCGGTAAGGAGTGCTAAAAAATGTAGCGCAGATGGTACCTTATCCGTTCTTATCGAATGATATGATTATCTGCCACCCGTCATCAATGTCCTTCTCACTAAATCCTTAGTAATTGTAGATGTGATAAGACCTGCCACCGGCTGAAGAGCAACGGATCGATGAAACGTCTCTTCAGCCCCTATCAGTTGTTATCGCTTTCCACAGGGTTGCGTCCCCATCTTACTCTAGATATAATACTTAAAAAGGGAAATGAACGCCTCGCTGAGGTGTCACCCGCGTTATGAATACGGACTCCTGCCTGAGACCCCTTATCCTAATCTTATCAGCCAGCGCGCAGTCTTGTCACTCACAATAATGTTCTTTAGCCCGCTACTCGTACATCATATCTTGGAAGCTAGCGTGATGCTGTCACCCGCGTTATGTAATATTGGTTAACTTTTCTCCTTCGCAACGCCTCTAGGACCTTATTCAACTGATATCGCTTCCTGCCAAGCGCGAGTGGAAGTGGTTCCTCGGTCGAGCGACCGCGCCACCACTCGAAGAATGTCTCAATGCTACTGTGGTACGGCGGTATGGAACTTCGTGGACAGCAACCACACAGACATACTTTAGCGGATTTATATATAGTAGGATAGGGGATGGAGCACGACAAGAAGTGATGGCGAAAGGAAAGTCTTCGCCACACTGAGCGGGGACGCATACCGCGATAGAAGGCGGTAAAAGAGTGGCTAAAAATGTAGCGCAGATGTATCTTATCCGGTCTTATTAAATGCGAGATGATAGACTGCCCACCGCGTCATCAGTCTTTTTTTTTTTCACATAATCCTTATAATTTTGGTAATGTAAAAACCTGCACGCCTTTGAGAGCCGACGACGAGTAAACGTTCACCACCTAATCAGCACGCCCCAGCCGCACGGTTGCCTTGTCCCATCCATCTAGATATTAATTTGCTGAAATGAAACGCCTCGCGGAGGCCGTCACCCGCGTTATGAATTACGGTGACCTTTCGTTTTCTGCAAGCCCCTTATCAATCTTTTATCAGCCAGCTCGCCAGGTGTTTGTCACTTCAAAAATAAGGTTCTTTTGGCCCGCTCTCTCAATCATATCTTGGAAGCTAGCTGATGCTTGTCACCGCGGTTTGTATATGGTAACTTTCTCCTTCCAAACGGCCTCTTATCGGATCTATTCAACTGATACGAGGCTTGCCAACCACCCGTGTGCCTCGTCACACCCCCTACATCACTCTTGGGAACAAATGTCTCAGGTGCTACTGGGACCGGCGCTTGATGAACGCGCCCGACGCAGAGCAGACACACAACCAGGCAACATAGAGCAAGTCAGGATATGTTGCATATGTAGTCGCCAGCTCCACTTAACGGTACACTTTTCCAAGATAGATGCCACAGGTTCCGTTGGAGAAAGAGAGGGATTTTAGACAAGGAAACGACCATCTCCCAACGTTGTTTCACCGCAACTTTTGCAGCGAGAGACACTTTGCAGACCGCAAAACTTTGCAGACGCGACAGTATTCGAGGCGATAGATGGTCGGAACTCTTCAAACTCCGTCGGCGGACGACATTGTCCTTTTTCAAGTACTACCGGAGAGGGCAGAATAATCGCAGAATTAACTAAACCTCGAGCGAAGGCTGGGTCAATGAAGGTCCCAACTCGAAATGACAGGATAACTATCAAGGGAGTACTCATCTAACCTATCTCGGGCGTTCCATTGAACAGTGGTAAACGGGACATATAAAGGACGAATTGGAAGCCTGCAGAGTGTGCAGGCGTGAGGGCGGCATTTTACGTCTAAAGAGGGGAGTAGTGACGCAGTCGACGGCCCATACCCGAGACTTTCGGCCTATCTTTGGTCGACCCACGAGTCTGCCTGCGCTCTGCCTAGTGACATCGGCGAGTAAGCACATCGCACATCAAGAGCTTTGAACTGTGGACGCCCAGCAGCGCTCCGGACAGCGACAGTTGCCCTAAAGCTACAAATGGTACCCGCAAGTCGAGCATGGACCTGCGCTCCGACCTAGGCCGCCTCATCCCGCCCACCGCGAGCCGCAGGAATAACGTAGAGCGAAGGCAAGACTGCGCTGGGCGGTCACACTATTATGAACACGGGCCAAGGGGGTGACAGATGGACAAAGAAAACAGTGAAGATGAGAGAGAAACTCCTGTGGACTCCACGGTCTAAAGAAGACCTGCGCACGAGATGCAGCTTTCAAATGCAACGTAAGACAGCTGCGCATGGCGGCTTGAACGCAAGCCCGAATCACATCTCCGCAGTTTTGAGTAGTTCATGATGGTGATCGGCGGAAGATCGAACGAACAGGTTTGTGCTGCGTGCTCGCACTTAAAAAGGTTAAAAGACGAGGCATAAAAAGTATAGGTTATAACAGAGCACAGCTTTCATTCAAAATTTCATAGAACCTCAAGATCAATCAGCGTCGAGATGGGCTTTCTGAAACATACCGTGGACCAACGACAGGCCCAAAACTAACGCAACAATACTTGGGCTTTCAATATGCGTTTCTTCCCAAATGGTACGGCAGCAGTTTTATTAGGCTCGACGCACTCTACAAAAGAGAAAACCAGCGCGTATACCTCATGAACAGCGTCTCTGTAAGATTTTAGCGACTTTGTTGAAAAATTCCTAGCTTCAATTTGGCTCGGCACCCAAATGGCCTTGGCCCGACATCAAAAATGGCGTCATATTCGTAACCGAAACACGGAAAACCCCGAGGTCGGGATTTTACTCGAGAATTCCTGAAGTGTGTTAGTCCTTGTTACCAACTGTGACCGCTTCAGAAAATCAGTGTCTACATCGTCCATGATCATTTAAACTTTACGGACGGTTTTGAAAGCTTCTTCTTTGACCTCTAAGTGGTTCAGGTTATCGTGAGGTTAAGGCAGATCGCCATTGATTGTGTCAATGGCGAACTTAGGCAAAACCAGACGAGTAAAAAAAAGTCAAAGCCTGCGCTCACACGCATGCATGGATATAAATGAGCGTAGATGAACTTCAAACCACTTCGCTACAACAGATAGGACAGGATGAATTCACCTCATTGTCAGTATACCGCAGCTCTTCTTCCGCGATATCCCTTGCTCAACACTTGTGGTCACCAACCGGCCGGGTACCCTGAGAAAAAGGGTCTGTGATGTACGATGTGAGGTAGCGTCCAGACATCGCGATGACGCACGTCGACACCCCACCATGCAGCGGCGCTCCAGTGCTATAGACGCTATATATATAGGACGCTATATATGGGACGCAACCGTAGAAAGGTGTCCATGCCATCTCAAAACACTAGCGGAGCGCCAATTTATATCAGACTGTGGATTAGGCAACGCCTGCTCTCCTGCTATCGTAAACTCGGAACACTAGCGGCCACAGTTCAATACCCGTCTGCGGCTGCGCTTCCTCTTATAGCATCGAAGCGCTACTGGAATGGTAGTGCGTCGTAACTGTTATGCTGCTCGAGCTGCATTTATGCTGCATGTCGGTTCAGCCAGAAGCTTGCATTCGAATAAGTAAATGGAGGCGATTCGTGGTCCCCTCGAGAAATGAAACCCCACAGACCGTTGAGGGTAGCTTCTCGGAGTCTACCGGGCCCCCCAGTGCACCAATAGTTGATCTCGAAAAGTGAAGACCGCAGGTTGTAAAGCAGAAATATAGTCTGCATGTTCCAGAGTGCGCGACATACTGGCAAAACAAAAATTTCAAAAAAGAAATTGGACCTCAGCAGTGGGGCTCGCAGTACTAGCTTCCGGAAAAGTTTGGTAAGGAAGCTAAAGCCTTGTGATTGATTGATTTTACTGACCTTTCTACCTGCTATCTACGGCATGCGGCCACGCCATGTGCCATATGGCAAAGTCACTCGCGCTGCTTCTTGCGCCCTTTCATTTTAATAAATCCACCGGACACTATAACGATAGAGCTCCTGTAGCTAAGAGCATGTCTTCACATTTAAAAAAATCCACCTAACATTCAATTGCACAATGCATCACTACGTGAAAAAAAAACCAAAGAAAAATGAAAAAAGCTCGAGAAATCCATAAGACAACTCGAAGTCACGCTATACCAAACTTGAAAAGTTTTCAGTCGTCGTGATTCTCACGTATCACAAATAAGCCTAGCTTGCTTAGAGGATTTTTCTTAGGAAATCACTCGAAATCAGCGAGCAATACCTCAAAGACATTGAAATCACTGCTGCCGCGAAGATGCACGTGCCTATGGCTGGAAATTAACGCTGTTTCGAATATTTGGATTATTCGTCATGTCGGATTACGATGTGGCACATTGTTAATCAAGTTCTTTCTACGAGTTTATACGAAAGAATTTCAACACTGGATAGGATTTGCAAGCAGCTTTTTCATAGTCTAAAAAAATAAACAACGTAGCCTGCACGGCAAACGTTTACGCTATGAAATCAGTTTAGCCCCACTTTGCCTGGCTGGAATTGAATAAGACATTAAAAACTCACAATGACTGTTTTATGCTTTCATCAGTGTTTGAGCGCATGAATTCGATGTACCCTCCTCGCAGACCTTTTGATGTAGCTAGTGTTAAGGCTTCACCAACCAGCGCAGACTGTGATGGTGCTGAAGATGGTGCCGATACCTTAAGACGATACAACGAATTAGAAGTGTACAAAAAGAGGTATGCCTGTCATGAAGTGGATTGCTGTGATCAGCCAACTGTTTTGAAACAAGCACAAACGTTCCTGCTTCGCTGCTGATAGAGTGATGCGTGACCTGTCCTAGCGCAAGATCCTACTAAGGTGTTAGGCTGAAGCATAATGATTCGCGGTTTTTTTTTGCAGATCTTCCTTTCTTTTTTTTGCAGATCTTTCTTTCACGAAGGAGGAGCATCACATGGTGGGTATTTTAATCGAAGATGGATTGACCAATGAAAACCAAAACGCGATCATTCGTAGTAAAAAAGCCCACTAAAAACCGCAGATAATTGGGCACTAATCCCGTGCACTCTTACAAAATAATCATTAGCCGCTACTGGGAACCTATGCAGTCCACTAAATACTTTCCTTTTCTCAAACAAGGAACATATCATTCTCTTCAAGCATTTCGTATTATGAGCAAGCAAGACCAGGTCCTGTAAACGAAGTGTTTCGCCCCCCGAAGTAAGGCCACTGCGTTCCTACCACTGTCCATTCATAGCTGGTTGCCTTGGTAGCTCATCTCCTCTCTGCAGAAAAAGAGGCTGCAAACGGACCGATGCACGCGAACTCGAGCTAAGACCCACTCGGCAGGTAGCACGCATAGCAGGGCGGCGACCTGCCGAGTCTCCTGTGCCTGTGTCTTCCACGTCGACTAACTAGGAAGACATACGATGGTTCGACTGGGAGCAGTGCCATGTACCCTTTTTCCACATATTGAACACGGGAGCTCAGGGGCGGGGGCTGGGAAGGGGACGAAGGCGCAACCTGTCTCAGTTCAAGCCGAGTGTTATATCAGGGATCCATACGTCTAACCGCACGTTTTGACAGAAAGAATTTGCAGATGCGCGATTACTCGGGGAAATCGGTGTATAAATCGCGCACTGAAAGCAGTGCGTATTGCGTATGAAGGATTATTTTGGTTAACATTTAGTAAGGGTCTCAAAAAAACTCTCTGAAGGCTCATAAGGTTACTATTTAGACTTTCGTAGTCTGAGGGACCTGAATGTGTTCTTCACTGGCACTACCCAAGAATTCCTGTGATATCCTTTGAGCCGCGAACTACAGCAAAGTACAGCAGCTAACAGAAGAAGTCTTTTTCAGTCGATTCACAATCATTACAAGTAGCCGTGAAGGAAAAGTTAGACATACCACTGTTTTGGGTCGTGCAACAGGGACAGGAAGCGATTTTCGCTTGTCCTTCGCGTTAATCGAATTCATTCTGGCTCCACGCAACCGAATTTTCGGGAGACGTTTGAGAGAGCTAGCTTTAGCTGAGACCGCAGGGCGAGGCTATAAGTAGCAGCGATATTTAACGTTGGAGTCAAATAACTTAGGAGGAAGAATTGAAAAAAAATACAATTCCTAGGTAAAAACGAGCGATGGCCGCGATTCATGCGTCATGGCAGTTTTGAGAAATCATGAAACGTTAACAAAAGTAGGAATCTCCGACCACATTTAACCTTGGTGACGAAGTGCATATATGCTCCATAAGCAAAGCCAAGCAGCTTAAAACTACCACACTGCGAATAATACTCTTTATGAGGACCTATAACCATCCCTCAGACGAGGAAATTTTTTTTACTATTTCTACCTTTTGAAATTAACACTCTCTGGCGGAGGGATTGTATTGACAAGCGGCACGCATACCACACGCGCGCAAGCACAGCCCAATCAAGCCTTCTACACAACAAAGATGATAAAGTGGCACCATATTCCACTGGAAAACACTATATTGGTCGGCCTTTGCAGGTTAGTGTACGGTATACAGCCCCATCTTTTAAAAGAATTTTCGCGAATGGATTCATTTGGACGTTCTGGATTGAATAAGTGCATGTTTTCCTAAATATCTCCTTCTATCCCCCTATCCCCCAAAAAATTGAGAGGTGATCACTCCTCAAATTATTAGATATAAAAAAATGTGTTAAGATTGCGTGAACCCCGAAAGATCCACTAAGAGCGTGTTCAGACTTCGCGATCGCGCGATCCGGATCGCGCGATCGCGAAGTCTGAACGCGCTCTAAGTGAGACTCGAAAATTATTTCACAGAAAGGAAGCCGCGAGTAATTTGGCCTTATTGGGCATGCTTTTGAAGTACAACACCTTCCTCACAGGAAGAGATATCAAGCGAGCTTTTACCAGATTGCATCGTGGTTATTCATTACAAGCAGTAGCAATTTTGTGCAGGTCGGTCAGTAGCGATGTTGGTTACTGCCGATAACCAACATCGCTACTGACCGACCTGCACAAAATTTTCTAAGAGAATTATTTGCTTTTTTTTGGACATCAAGAAGGCACTGGACACTCACAGCTTGACCCTGATGATGAAATAAACTTCTGGCTCTGTTGTGAGCCTTCCACAACCAACCAACATTTTGGAGTTTAACAGGGGCTCGGGTTAAGATGTTTTGTGTTAGTGGGAGAAAAAATGTGCAACAACGATAAAAACAACCTGCTCAGCTAAAGTCTGTATTTCACTCAAGGGTAATTGCTGGAACGTTCCTGCCAGTTTGGACTCTGGCCCATCATATACAACGCTGTCAGTCTCGTCTGTCGTGCTAGTAGCTGTGATCTAAAAGTTAAACAATGGTAGCAAATCTGCAATGTAGCAAAACAGTTCATAAACAATTTTGAGATGCGGCAATTTAACTTTTACAGCTGATGTCGCCCAATCCGGCGCAGCACAGCCAGGCAATGCGACATGAGCCCTGCTGCGGAGTTTCCTACCATTGAACCGGCAACTACGGTGGGAAATGCAGCCGCGGGTAGGGTCATTCCACCGTCCTGACACCGCCAGGTGTCCTATTTCTCCGTTGCAAAATATGAATGCGACTCAAATGCTATCGACGGAGCAGAGATCCGTAAGCGTCTTCAAGGATACGAGTGATGGCCTCGCTCTGACGCCTCATTCCTTCAAGGGATGAAGACAGCTTCGCGATAAAAGTATCAAGGATAGTTGCTGTTCAATTATGAGACTGTAGCGGATAAGTAATTTCTCAACGAAGGAAAAAAGCAACAAGAGTCCTAAAGAACACCATAAACAAAATCGCTCCCTGAGAGTCACACCGCCCTGCGGTCTCTGGCAAAAACACGAACGAGAAACACTAGAAAGAAAATTTTAAAAACTTTGCGTCCGAGTTTGGGGTTACGTGCAGTGTGGAGCTTTAGTGCATGTCGAGCTTTTGCACCACAAAAATTACATCATTCGTGACTCTTACGCGTTTTACCTTGCGAGATAGGTTGCCGTTGACTTTATGTGCTCCCACTGAATGAAATGTAATGAAGGCGAGCAGAATTATTTCTGGGCATGAGCATGGTGAGCAAAATGTACAATCCTCATCATTACGGACTGTCGGGGCGTGTCAGTGCGGCTGCGTTTGGCCGGTACCGAAGTCGTTCTGCACCAATTGCTGAAGCGGGCAAGTGACATGACTGTATTATATCTTTCGTATTACTCGTTTTCTACCACTTTTTGTCGCATACGCGTTTCAACAAAAAGGGGGAGAACGGCTTCAACGGTGTGCGCACTCCTTCTGGCTGACACGCCACGACAGTCCGTAATGATGAGGACAGTACATGCAATTCCGATTGATGATCGCTTTCCCAACAGGAACAACTGAGCGGCTCTCCGTCAGAGGGCATCTAGCAAGAGGGAGGTCCAACTGGGCAGGCGTTAGAATTTGAGCGGCTGTGGCTCGCTCCTCGCTCTCTGTGAAGTCACGAGAGTGAGATAGTCTCTAGCTCGGGGCAGGACTACTTGCACAAGGAAGGACGACCATGTACTACTTGAGCGCGCGGGCTGTCTTAAAGACAGCGCCCGCGATCGACTTTTGCAGGTTTAAGGGGTCAGATTTGTTAGAACAGGTGGCAAATGAAGCATTAATCAAAACCAGTGGGAAGAAAAGGGTGCAAGAGCATGTAATAAGACCCTATTCGATTCAAGGCATCTGGACGAGTTTCGCAGATTTCGGTTTTTGGATTTCGGGAGTTCTCAAAAATACATCGCAGCCTCGTTGTGGCTAATTCTCACTAGGCCACTAACTAGGACACTTATCTAATATAATTAATCCACGCTGGCATTGATAATCGATCTCTTTATGAGTCAACCTCTTTATCAGTGTACGAAACAAGCGCTAGGAATTTAGCGATTATCAAAGCCAGCGAAAATTGACAACAGTTAACCAGTCGGGGCGGGATTAAAAGGACAGGCGGCGTCAGCTTAGCATTGTTGACTCCGCCTTCGTCAATCAGTCGATTTTGAGCTCAAGAGTGGGATACCCGGGGTGTGTGTCAGGACTCACCGCGGCGCCCGAAACTAGGTCGCCGCGCTGGCAAGTGGGTTCACCGCGCGCGGCGATTACATGATTTAAGTTGTTTGCATGTTTGAACATGTCTACCTGTTTGGACATGTTCTTGGCAGATGGAAGATGAGGCAAAGAGAGAACGCTCAAAGCAAACTGCGATAGGGTTATATTGATCGGAAGTTGGCAAAATGACAGGTCAGGACTCACCACCGCGCCACGCGAATAGGTGACCTACTTTCGAGCGCGGCGGTGACTCCTGACCGTCTCCCGGATACCCGCTGTGGTTGCGGACTCCGCGATCTTGTGCAGTGCAGGTTTTTTCACCCTGGTTGATCACGGACGCTGCCTTTAAAGCAGTTCCCGCGATTAAGAGTCATGGATGGTTGCCGCTCATTTATGAATCAGTAGCTGATAAGTAATCCCAAAGAAGAAAAAAGCAAGAAGAGTTCTCAAGAACACCACAAACAAAACCGCTCCCTGACAGTCACAGTCATACCGCCCTGCGATCTCTGTGCAACCCCTGGCTCACAAATCACTTTTGTAGATAGTAGATACCATCCAAAGCAAAGAGAAGAATACGAAAAAAACAAAACACGGGAGAAAAACTCTTGAAAAGGAAGAGAAACTTTCACAAACTAGGCGTCTGAATCTAGGGTCACGGTAACGTGCATCTTTTAGTGCAGTGTGGTGCGTCAGCTTTGCGTCCTAATGAATAAAATTTACTGAAGGAGAGCAGAGTCATTCACGTGCACGAGCGCGGTCAGCAAAAAGTAGATGCAGTTAATGCCCGCCGCCCCAACAAAGAACAATTGAGCGGTCCTCCGTCGGAGGGCATCTAGCAAGTGGGCGGTCCAACTGGCGGGCTTTGGAGCTAGAAATTTCAGCGGCTGTGGCACGCTCCTCGCTTGCTGTGGTGTCGCAAGAGTTGGATAGTCTCTTGGCTTGGGGCTGAACTACTTGCACAAGGAAGGACGACCAAGAATTACTTGAGCGCGGGGGCTCTTTTCAAGCAAAGAGCGCAGTGAGTGGGTCGCCGCGCGCCATGAAGTTCTGCGCGAAGCATGCTTCCCGCGCTGCAACGACGGTCGTTGTAACGTAGATTTCGAACACACTCCGATTCTCCCGGTCGGTACGTGTTCAGTATTGTCTGTCCCTATTTCTACAAATCACCATGCCAAATCCTAAGCCTTATAGTACTATTAAAGGCAGTTGGCACGATAAATCGCTATATAAATATAATAAATCGCTATGTAGGATTTATACGACTGGCTTAAAGACGGTCCCCGCGCTCGAGCAGTACTTAGTCGTCCTTCCTTGTGCAAGTATTCCAGCCCCCAAGCTAGAGACTGCGCCTCTCTCGCGACTCCACAGTGAGCGAGGAGCGGGCTACAGCCGCTCAAAGTTCGTTCTAACACCTGCCCAGTTGGACAGCCCATTTGACAGATGCTCTCCGACGGAGAGCCGCTCAGTTGTTCTTTGTTGGGACGGCGGGCATTAACCTCCGCATGTACTGTTTGCTGACCGCGCTCGTGCCCATGAATAATCCTGCTCTCCTTTATCACATTTTATTCATTGGGAGCACATACAGTCAACTGCAGCCCATATCGCAAAGTAAAACGAGTAAGAATCATGAGGGTGCATTTTTGTGGTACAAAAGTTCGACATGCACTAAAAGCTCCACACTGCACGTAACCCCAAATTCGGACGCCAAGTTTTTGAGTTCCTCTTTTTTTATGTGTTTTTCGTTCGCGTTTTGTTGTTTTTCGTATTTTTTCTTTGCATTGGATGATATCGCCTTTTCCAAGGAGGGTACCCCTATAACGCCCTATCGGGCAACAACATTCCGTCCCAAACGCCTTCCTAGCCCGCCCGCCCACAAACGGACGACCGTTCCTGACGTATTCATTCATTTGCTGAGCAAATTATGAAGCAAAGGGGTTGGCATGAAGCGGCCCGTGATACTGCATGCATACATGGGTACATCCATGTATGCAGCCGTATCTTCGGTAGCGGTGATTGGCAAGATGCGTACGGGAGACGTCCATCGATTTTCAAGACACTGAGAACGAGGCTTTTTCTTTGCCAGATTTTGACCGTTTCACTCCGTTCTTTCGCCATTGTCACACACATAGCAACCTACTAGCATTTTAGGCCGAGCGGGAGCCCATCGTGCCAACTGCCTTCAAAGAAATTTCTACGAACTATAAGGTCTTTATTGTGTCCAACTACATTCTCACATCTATGACTGATTCATTTCCTTTTCGAAAAAAATTCTCTCGCGAAGTACGCATCAGTGCATTTAGACAAAGATCTGATAACCAACAACAAGACAACATGACATACTAAACACTCTGTCTTGAAGACAGCGCCCGCGATCAGCTTTCGCAGGTTGTAGGGTCCAGAATTGTCAGAACGAGTGGTAAGTGAAATACCAATCAAGAAAAAAGCACAAGAAATTGTCGCAAGAACACAGAATAAGACCCTATTCTATTGAAGGCATTTACGACGATTTGGCAGATTTTAGACGAGTTCCCTGAAACAAATCGCTGCTCATTGCGGCTAATTATCATGAGGCCATTAAGGTTGTTTCAGCGTTAATCTCTCTAACCTATCTATCTAATTAATCTAAGGTATGTATCAGATTCTAGCAGTGTACGAAAAGAACTCTAGAAATTTAATGATTATCGAGAATCGGTAACGGAAAATCGACCAAGGAGGGCCAGCTCCCGAGGAGGGGTCAGCTTATCATTGTGGACTCTGCCTTCGCTTATCAAAAGCTTCCGAGTAGCAGAAGCGGAGATCCTCTCCGATTGCGGACTGAGCCATCTCGCAAATACACTAGAGGGTTTCTTCACCTTGGTTGATCGCGAGCGCTGTCTTTGAGGCCGCATTCACACATGACACGACTTTGAAGAAATGACGAAACAGCGGACAGAAGAAAGTATGTGTATCGAATCGAAAAAATGACGAATCTGCGGAAATGGAAGAAATGCAGAATTTGTAAAAATGACGAAGCAAAGAAAAAAGACTCCATAGGGGCTGACTGCTTAGCCCCACCTCTGGGGAAAATGCCGACTCTGCGGATTCTTGGCATTCCTGCAGATTCCGGATTTATCCCAATTCGTTAGTTCTTCGAATCTTAGGCCGCGTTCATAGCTTGCGTTCGTGAAGAAATGCAGAAATGCAGAAGTGCGGAAAGTGCAGAAGTGCGGAATCTGCAGCAAAGCAACAGATACGTGTCTACTCGAAGAAATGCAGAAATGCCGAAACTGCAGACGTGCGGGAAGGGCAGAAATGACGAAAAGCATTACATGCGTATCGATCTGAAGAAATGCAGAAATGCCGTAAGTGAAGAAATGCGGAATCTGCAGAAATGTTGAAAGTGAAGAAAAGCGGAATCTGCAGAAACGCCGAAAGAGAAGAAGTGCGGAATGTGCACACATGCGGAATCTGCAGAAATGACGAAAAGCAATTCATACGCACCGATTTTCCGCACTTTCGGCATTTCTGCAGATTCCGCACTTCTGCATTTTCCGCATTTCTGCACTTCTTCACGAACGCAAGCTATGAACGCGGCCTTAAGATATAACCCTTCTACTAGCCACAGTTTCATCATTTCTTCGAAGTCGCCATGTAAGAACCCGGCCTGTGAACGACCGACTTCTGATAGAGAGTCAGCGATCTTTGCGAGGGAAAGTAACATTATGGAACTCAGTATTCTATTATATAAGCAGGTTCCAGGCTAATCGTTTGGTGACGTTACAAGTGCAAATAAATCGGCATCATTTTCACTCATACTTGGTTGTGAAGCTCCCAACCCTTCGCAGTAATATTCTCAACAGTGGCGCAGTATCTAGAAGTGTGTGCTACCAACTGGATTGCTACAACTCACCATAATTTTTTTGCCAACTCCTTCCCTCATCGTCCTTATTTCATACAACACCCCACTGATGAGTTCCCGGGCTCGACGAAATAACTGTTTGGCACTATTCAACTACTACTTCCTTGAAAAGTCAAAAAATTTTGGCAATAATGAATATTCCTACCCCAAAGACTCAAAAAATTTTTAGCTGAAACTTTGTCTATAGATGTTATTAGATGTCCTGATCACGAATATGGCATTAATCTTTTACGCTGGCGCCATTTGGCGCCAAACCTTCTCTTCTCAAAATCGATGAAAAACCTGCACAATAGGGTTGTTTGGTGGATCACGAATATGACATATTTTTCGACACCAGCGCCATTTAGCGTTCTTCCAAGGCTGAGACTGGGGGAAGAAGTGATTCCCTTTAGGCCAGGCTCAGCTTTAGCAAAGCGCAGATGATCGTAGTGTCTTCCACTGGCGCCAGCGCCAAAAACGAATGTGAAGTTTGTAATAAAGATGTCAAATAAACTCCGTAATAAGTTTCAGCGGATTGATGACCTAGGGTGTTTTGGCGCCTGTGTCGCGGGCGCCAAGAATTCGGCGATTTAGGGTTCTTGGCGCCGGGCGCCAGGCAGTTTCAGGCTAAGTGGATGTGATATTCGTGGGCAGGAAGTCGAACTACTTCTAGAACCCAACTTTGAGCCAAATCTGCCCCGTAGAAGAAAGTCGGTTAAAATCCGGCCTGTATGTAGCCGTATAAGCGTAGTAATGTACCTACGCGTACACCGTACCTCCCTATACTATGTGAGTTTTTTCGCGTTCACAAGAATTACTTCACTTGCAAGATTGAAGGAAAACATCTTCTACTTCAATCAGGAACGCCCAGATGAATCCCTCCACAAAATCTTTCGTAAGTTAACGGAGAAGGAGAAGTGATGCTTTTTAAACAAATGTAGAGAGGAGAAAATTCCAGGGTCGCTGCCACGGTTCGCACATATGCCCCGAGACGTAATAGTGTATGTTGGCCGTAAAGAACCGCATGCACCAAATCTCACGACTAGAAAAGGAATAGTGCGTGGTAGCGTCGTTTTTGTGTTATATGACATTCTTTCACGAGATGCATAAGCTATGGATCTTATAGAGTAGCATTATTGCGCATATTATGAATATTTGTGGTTTTCTTGAGAGGAAGAGAGACAAGTGTCATGGGAATGTCAAGGGTCCTGTGCACTAATTCTCGATATAATACAAATTAGTTGAACTCTGTCATTTGAGCCGAGCAAGTTACTTTATCTTTATCTTTATTCAGTACGTTGTGTAAGGCAACGTCAAAAAATAAAGCATGAAATAAAACAGGAAACAGAACACAAAACTCCAAGGAAAATACCTGTGCTCTTGTGTTCCCCCTTGCCCATGTAACTTCTTATAGATTAGCACGTCCCAACTTTTCGCGTGAGGTAGAGGGCTGGTTACTGTCAGAAGAATCATTGTAGCAAACATTGAGCTCCCCAGCCAAGAACATCCTACTGTATATAATCCGCTAAGTTTGTCTGTTGGTGCGTGTGTTTGACCGGAAATTCATACCTTTCTTCAAATCAGCCGTCGAGAGTTCAAATTGATAAGTGATAGAGAAGGTGCGACGGGAATACTCATGGTGGGTGACAGAAAGTGATAACGACTGATAAGAGCTGATAAACCGCCTGATTCAGCAAATTCATTACTCGCGTCACAGCAGCGGTTTAATGTTGGTTCCAAGAAAAGATATAGGGCGCTTGACGTGAGGATCGTTGCTGGGCGGCAGGAGGTGATAGCAGCTGATGAGGTACCATAAGAGGCATTAGAGGGGGAGGTTCACCAACTGATGAGATGTTGGTATCAAGAAATGATATAGGGGGTTGGACGAGAACATCATCAGTGAGCAGGAAGTGATAACAACTGACAAGAAAACATAGAATATTTAGAGAGGTGTCCCAGAATATTTAGAGAGGTGTCCCTCCCCCCCCCCCCTCCCCCCCGAAAATCATAGCACAAGTTCCAGCAACAGTGAGAAGCTTCCAGCAAGTAATTCAGGGGTGGCTAGATCATTGGTTGCGGGAGATACGTTGTGATAGTGTCCGATAAGGGCTCACAAAAGTCACTCTCTGTTCGCAACTTCTCTCCTTGCTACTGACCTGCGACTACCGTCGTCTAAGAATCAATAAGCAGAGCGTTTTTGGGTCAACGTGTTCACACCTCTGTAGTCGAAGGTTCGACCGCTAAACACTTGAACTTTGACAAAAAGTGAATGGCGGAAGTTGTGTGATAATGA